CAAATATCACAATTTCTCACTTATTTGTAGGATCTAAAAATCAGAACAATTTAACTCAGGGAGATAGAGAAGAAGGAATGATTACCACAGGCTGGGAAGTGTAGTAGGGGAGTGGGGAGAGATGCAGATGGATGGTTAATGGATTCCAAAAAAAAAAAAAAATTCAAAATGAAAAAAGAGACTAAGAAACTACTACACGTAAGAACCAAAACTAAGAAACTACTAGAAGAAAAGAGGGGGAAAGCTCCAGGACATTGGTCTCTATAATAAAATTTTGACTATCACCTCAAAAGCACAGGCAAAAATAGACAAATAGTATTACACCAAGCTTAAAAAGCTTCTGCATAAAATATATAATCCACAGAGTGAACAGACAAACTACAGAATAGGAGGAAATATTTGTAAACAATATACCTAATAAGGGATTAATATCTAAAATATATAAAGAACTGAAACAATTTAAGGAAAAGAAAACAATTAACCAAAATAAAAAGTGGATAAAAGACCTAACACATTTCTCAAAAGAAGACATACAAATGTTCAACAGGTATATTTAAAACAGGTTCAACGTCTCTAATCATCAATGACAGGCAAAACAAAACCACAATGAGATACCACCTAAACCTCTGTTAGAATGGCTATTATCAAAAAGACAAAAATGGATAAAAAACTGTGGGACATACTATGCAATGGAGTATTATTTAGCCATAAAAAAGAATGAGATCCTCTCATTTGCAACAACATAGACGGAACTGAAGATCATCAAATTAAGTAAAATAAGCCAAGCAGAGAGAGACAAACGTCACATGTTCTCACTTCTTTGTGGGATCTAAAACTCAAAATAATTTAACTCAGGGAGATAGGAGTAGAAGTACAGTTACCACAGGCTGGGAAATGCTGTAGGGGAGTCGGGGTGGTGGGATGTAGGTGAGGGTGGTTAATGGGTACAAAAAATTTGAAAGAATGAATAAGACCTACTAATTGATAGCACAACAGAGTGATTATAGTCAATAATAATTTAATCATGCATTTAAAAATAACTAGAAGAATTTAATTGGATCGTTTGTAACACAAAGGGTAAATGCTTGGGAATAGATATCCCATTCTCCATGATGCTACTGTTATGCCCAAATCCAAACATCTCATGTACCCCATAAATACATAAAACTACTATGTACCCACAAAAATGTTTTTAAAAAGACAAAAGATAACAAGTGTTAGAAAAGATGTTGAGAAAAAGGAATTCTTATACACTTTTGGTATGAATGTAAAGTAGTAAACCATTAATAAAAAACAGTATGGAGTCTCCTTAAAACATTCAAAATGGAATTACCATATAACCAAGCAATTCCATTATCGGATATATATCCACAAGAAATAAAATCAGTATCACAAAGAGATCTGCATTCTCATGTTCACTGGAATACTATTTACAATAGGCAGGATATGAAATCAGCGTAAGAGACCATCAATGAAGGACTAGATAAAGTAAATGTGGTATATATACAAAATGGAATACTATTCAGACATAAAAAAGAACAGGCCAGGTGTGGTGGTTCATGCCTATAATCTCAGCACTTTGGGTGGCCGAGGCAGGTGGATTGCTTGAGGTCAGGAGTTCAAGACCAGCCTGGCCAATACGGCAAAACCCTGTCTCTACTAAAAAAATACAAAAATTAGCCAGGTGTGGTGGTGTACACCTGTACAGCTACTCAGGAGACTGAGGCATGAGAGTGAACTCAAGAGGTGAAGGCTGCAGTAAGCTGAGGTCATGCCACTGCACTCCAGCCTGTGTGACAGAGTAGAACCAGACTCTGTCTCAAAAAAATAAACAAACAAATACATAAGATAAACAAATAGCATAACATAATGATAAATATAATAGCAAATAATAAATACAAAAAAAAGCAGAAAAGATACAATGGTGATAGTAGAATTTGCTTTACAGATGGAATATTCTTTTACTTTCTCCTATAGTTGTCATTTGTTCACTCCTTTGAGATATTCTATAATTAAAGTAGTTCCTAGCACATATATAAAGATCAAACTAGGGTTTAAAAAATAGTTTATGAATAAACTGTCTTTTGGAAAGCATTTGTTATAACAACTAAGGACAAAAAAAAAAATACAAGAGTTGAAAATGACCTGATGCCTAAGAGACAATTCAGAAGACAAATATACATTTTCTAAATACTTTAAGTTACTGAAAATGAGAGATATTCAGTTAATGTGTCCAAGAGATCGATCAAAAGGAATCTTTTTACTAACATACATCTTTATCTTTCAGAAGATGACTATACAGATCCAATAGGAAGCTTTGGATTCAGCTTGAAAGCGTAAAGTGTACAGATTTTAGAGCCAGTCATGCTTGTTTTCTGCTAGGAAATTTATAAATATTTAAACCTCGATGATAATTTGTACATTCCAGGGTTCCTCCTTTTATAGCTCTTACTGCCAGTGTAAACAAATCTGGTAAAACAAATGAATCTCACAGAACTCCTGAGCCTTCTCTTTATCCTAGTGTGCCTGGAATTCTATCCTTCATGATGGGCCCAAAATCTTGGCCAAAACCTTTATGAACTCAAAAATATAGGAAACCCAAAACACTCTTAAATAAACAAGTAGACAAATGAATGACTTTTAGATTCTTTCTCCCAAATTCTAATCTAGTACACAACCATAATATTTCTCTTCAATCAACTTTAGAAATGAACCTCTCCATTTCAGTATCAGTATTCTACTACTGACCACTGTTTTATTTCAATTTATCTCAATCTAAAACAGTTTTAAGACTCTTCTCAGAATTCAGACTCTCAAAACTATAAATTTCATGACAAAAACCAGCTGTGAATCAAACTATAATTACAATAAAGATTATAGGCTCTTAAAGCTTCTTAAAGCTTAAATCATAATGCCTGCTACCATCAGAGAGGGCAAGAATAATCTTAAAATGGATTACATCATAACATGACATGGTATAAATTCTGTATCTTTTCATCTTACACTTTAAAACATGTTTCTCAATTAAATGAACAGGATATATATACTCTAGCTAAATGAAACAAGGCAAACAGGACCCTTTCCATAAAAACGTTATTCTGTTATCTGTAAAAAGGAACAGATATACATTAAACTATATAAACATTAAAATATTTTCAAAATGAGCAATCTTATTGAAATCACTTAACTGCTACACCCACCAGATTCCCTATCTATACTATCAATGCTAATACCCACCTGGTGGGATTGTAGTGAAGATTAAAGGGCCAAATACAGAACTAATAAACAAAGGTAATCAGTATTTATTGGCTGTTTTAACTATATTTGAAAGCCCATGTAGAACACGTCTTGTAATACATAAATAAATAACCTTGTTCAAAAAGTTATTTAACTTTGAGATGGACATTTAGGCTAACTTATCACAGCTGATCCATCCAGAAAGAATTCTATTAAACATTATATTTCTTCAGAAACTATTACAAGACTATTTAGAATCAACACTACTAAATAGTAATGCAGTTCATGAACATTCTTCAAAATAAAATCATCTCTTTAGATCACAGACACAGAACTTTTTGACATTATCTGACATAGTTCAAAACACAGTGCTTTGAACTGAGACCATTCTTTTGGGAGGGAAATTCCCTAAAGTATGTATATCATACAAAAAACAAACACAAACAAAATCTCTGTGGTCTAAGCAACACACACAAATTTTTTCTCATGAAGATGACATGGTTCATCAAACCAGAAACGCAGAACTCTATTAATTATGATCCCTACATCAGCATGATGGACACCGCTCTGAATGCCATTCTGGGTGCCAGGGGGAGCTTCTTCAACCACCAATGAAATGCTCCCACTCAAAAAGTGACATTATCTCCACTCTCATCTTCACTGGTCCAAGCACATCACTTGGTGACTCCTAACTTGACAGGGGCAGAGATGTGCAATCAGCAGTGCCCAGAAATAGAGAATTGACTACTAAACAATACATCAATGCCACCATACTATCCATGGGGATCTTGGCAGGCCTGCATTGTAGAAAAGGGATGAGTTTAGATCAAAGTGATTATGAAGGAGAGGAAGTTCTGAAATTTTCATAAAAGGAATGCCAACTCTACCATTTGGATACATTGCCTCTAACGTCACTCCCACTTTAATCAGTAGCATAGATCTTTATCCTCTTGCTGAAGAACTGTTTTATTCCAATATTTGCTAAAAGCTCAGCTGAAGCATGTAATAATTGAGGGACAGACTAAAAACCATGTTAATTCGTCATCACTCTAGATTTTCCACATTATTTATATCCCTCTTGCACCATCAGAAAGTGATATTACAGACCATAGTACATCATCTCTAAGCATAACTACCTTTGATGAACTTAGAGTAGTTAGAAATGAGTTAAGAGCAAAACTATTTGCCTTCTTCTTTCACAGTAATTTGGTCAAGAAGATAATTCAATACTCCGTATTTAGCTCCTGTAACAGTAATTAAATCTAAAATATTTCTACTCAGAACTTTTGAGAAAAGGCTTTGAACTGCTCAGATGGGATAACTGAATTCACTTTACCCACCATCCTTATTTCCGTTAATATTCTAACCTCCTTTATGCGTAGCCAAGTATCACAAATATTAGAAATTCAGAGTTACAAAAGAAGAATACATTACCAATTTTTTTTCAAATATGATGTCATTACCTAAATTCCTTAAGTCTTTATTTTTATATTTTAAAAAAGGGACTTTAAAGAGTAGTTTTTCTTCAGTTATGAAAGGTAGAATTTCATTTTAAAACCTTTTCTTATTTGTATTTTCTAATATGCATTATCTTTTGAAGCATTTAATCCCATAATTTACCTAAAGGAGTTATTTGTGAATTTATCATGCATATAATAACAAAATGAAAATAGCAAATAATGAATAATCGGTCTTAAATAAAATGAAATCATTTAAAGAAATATTTCCACTGTCTTTCAATGGTATTGGAATATGATACTTACAAAGGTTCTGGGCAATTTTAGAATCTAGAAACTTAAGTTCTTTAATTTTTTTCTTAATTGATTTCTTCTCTTCAGTATCTTCCTCTTCTCTTCTCTCTGTAAAACCAAGAGTAGGTCCATGTTAGGGGCAGTAATTCATTCAAATACAGAAGTGTAAAAAGTGAACTTTTATCATTAAATAAGCTAAAAAGGATGTAACTCTTCTAAATAAAAGTTATAAAAATAAATAAAACAATAGATATTCCAGGACCTGAACTGTTGAAGATATAAACTGGGAGCTTTTATGTCAGAGAAACTATGGAAAGTAAGTATTTGAAGGTCTAACAGGAAAAGCAACAAAAAAACATGTATACTATGGAAACCAATACCATTGGGTTTAAGAATAACTACAATTAGCTCATTTGAATAGCATACAGGACACAGTTATAAAAATTAATATACCTGCACTCAAGTTGCAAGTATATTAATTGGATATTTTTAAATTGGATTATGAAGCTAGCTCTAAGAATGCTAACTAAAACACAGTCATTTTATGTCTAATGTACAATATCATTCTTATTTAAAAACATGGCTTATGGAAAATTAAAATAATAGATTTTATTATTTGTGAATGTCGAATCATCTATGCATCCTTGAAATAAATCCCATTTGATCATAGTGTATTATCTTCTTGATGTACTGTTGGATTTGTTTTGCTGCTATTTTGTTGAGGATTTCTGCATCTAAATTCATCAGGAATATTGGTCTAAGTTTTCTTTTTACGTTGGGTCCTTGTCTTGGTATCAGTGTCAAGCTGGCTTTGTAGTATGAGTTAGGAAGAATTCTCTCCTCTTCATATTTTTGGAATAGTTTGAAAGGAATTGGTGTTAGTTCTTCCTTAAAACCTTGGTAGAATTCAGCAGTGAAGCCATCCAGTCTTGGGCCCTTCTTTGTTGGAAGACTGTTTACTACTGATTCAATTTCCTTACTCATTATTGGTCTGTTCAGGTTTCCTATTGTTTCTGATTCAATCTTGGTAGCTAACTGTCCAGAAATTTCTTCATTTCTTCTAGGTTTTCCAGTGTGTTGGCAAACATTTGTTCATAATTAGCCTCTAACAATCCTTTTTATTTCTGTGGTATCAGTTGTAGTATTTCCTTTTGTGATTCTGATTTTATTTATTTGGGTTTTCTCTCTTTTTTCTTCTAACAGTTTATCAATTTAATCTTTTTTTAAAAAAACAACTTTTTATTTCTTAATCTCATATTGTTTGTTTTTTGTTTGTTTGTTTGATTTGAGACAGGGTCTCACTCTGTCACCCAGGCTGGAGTGCAGCAGCATGATCAGAGTTCACTGTAACCTTGACTTCTCAGGCTCAATTGATCCTCCCACCTCCGCCTCCTGTGTAGCTGGGACTACAGATGTGTGCCACCACATTCAGCTAATTTCTTTTTATTTTTCATAGCGACAGAGTCCCACTATGTTGCCCAGGCCAGTCTTGAACTCCTGTCCTCAAGTGCTCCTGCCCTCAAGTGATCCTCCCACCTTAGCCTCCCAAAGTGCTGAGATTACAGGTGTGAGCCACCTCACCCAGCAATGTGTCTTCTTTTTTTTGTCTCTATTTCATTTAGTTCTGCTCTGAACTTTATTATTTGTTTCCTTCTACTAACTTTGGGTTTGGTTTGTTCTTTTCCTAGTTCCTTAAAATACATCACTAAGTTCTTGAATTGCAATCTATTTTTTTATGTAGGCATTTTTTGCTACAAACTTCCCTCCTAGTACTGTTTGTGCTATATTCCAAAGGTTTTGGTATATTTTGTTTCTACTTTAACTCATTTCAGAAATATTTTTTATTTTCTTAATTTCTTTGTGACTTATTTTACAGAATTACATTACAGAAGCAAACTGTTTAATTTCCATATTATTTGAAAAGTTCCCAAAGTTCCTGTTATTGATTTCTAGTGTTACTCCATTGTGAGCTACAAAAGTACTTAATATAATTTTGATTTTTGAAAATTTGTTGAAACTTGTTTTCTGGCCTAACAAATGGTCTATTCTGGAAAGTGTTCCATGCACTGAAGAGAAGATGTGCGTTGTGCACCTACTGGATGCTATGTTCTAAAATGTCTATTAGATCCATTTGGTCTACAGTGCAGTTTCAGATTGATATTTATTTGACAATTTTCTAGCTAGATGGTCTGACAAATGCTGAAAGTTAAATTCTCCAACTACAACTATATTGGAGTGTCTCTCTCCTTGTAGATATCTGCTTTAAACATCTGGGTGTTCTGGCATTGGGCATGCATACATTTAAAACTGTTATATTCTCATGCTGAATTGGTCCCTTTATTATTATATAATGATCTTGTCTCTTTTTATCTTTTTTGACAAAATCTATTTTGACTGATACAAGTGTAGTTTATTCCTGCACACTTGCTTTTCATTTATACACAATACATTTTTTTCAATCCCTTCGCTTTCAGTCACTGTGTATCTTTACAGGTGAAGTGAGTTATTGTAGGCAGCATATTTTTAAATTCATTCAGCCAGTCTATAACTTTTAATTAGATAATTTACACTACTTATAATCAAGGTCATTACTAATGGGTGAGCACTTACGCCTGTCATTTTGTTGATCATTTTCTGATTGTTTTGTATATGCTTTGTTCCTCTCTTCCTCTCTGTTTATCTTTGCAGTTTGGTGGGTTTCTGTAGTAACAATATTTGCGTCCTTTCTCATTTGTGTATCTGCTCTATAGGGAGTTTTACACTTTTATGTGTTTTAACAGTGGTAGATACAGCTTTCTTTGCTTCCAGATATATGACTCTCTTAAGCAAGGAGTCTAGTGGTGATGAATTTCTTCAGTGTTTGCTTGGCTGGGAAAGACTATTTCTCCCTCATCTCTGAAGAATAGCTATACTGAGTAAAGTATTCTTATCTTACAGTTCTTTTCTTTAAGCATTTTGTATGTATCATCCAATTCTCTCCCAGCCTGTAAGTTTTCTGCTAAAAAAACGGATGTTAGTCTGATGGGGATTCCCTTACATGTGACTTGACACTTTTCTTTTGCTATTTTTATAATGCATTATTTGCCGTTGACTTTTGAAAATTTGAATATAATATGTCTCACAGAAGACTTTTTGAGTTGAATCTATTTGGGAATCTTTGAGCTTCGTGTATCTGGATGTCTATTTCTTTCCCAAGACTTAGAAAGTTTTCAGCTATTATTTGATTAAATAGGTTGTCTATGCCTTTTTCCATCTCTTCTCCTTCCAGTAATCCCAAAACACAAATATATATTTGCTTAATAGTGTCCCACATGTCACATGTCACACAGACTTTCTTAAATCTTTTTCTCTATTTTTCTTTTTTTTTTTTTTTTTTTGGGTTTGACTGGGTTGTTTCAAAAGACCTTATTTCCAAACTCAGAAATTACTTCTTTTCGTTGCCTAGTCTACTGATAAAGATCTTGGTTGTATTTTTTATTTCCTTTATTGAATTCTTCAATTCAAGAATTTCTATTTGGCTCTTTTTTTATATCTATCTCTTTGTTGAATTTCTCATTCTAATCAATTGTTTTCCTGATTTCTTTATATTGTCTACTTGTGTTCTCTGTGTTTCATGGAGTTCTGTAACGATCATTATTTTGAATTCCCTTTCAGGTCTTTTATAAATTTCTTGTTATTTGGGGTGTGCTGCAGGAGAATTACTATGTTCCTTTGAGGTATCACGTTTCTTTTCTTTTTCATGTTTTTTTGTGTCCCTATAGTGATATCCGTGCACCTCCTGTAATAATGACTTCTAATTTTATAGAGTAGATTTACAGCATCAATTTAGTAGAGTGTTTGGAGTTTTGGGTGGGAGCAGCCACACAGTCTCTGTGTGATTTATTCAGCTATAATCATCAGCTGTGTCTGAGATTTCCTCAGTGGCTTAGGCTGCAGTTGTTTGTGGATGCTTTGGTATGACTTTCCTAGCGATGAAGATGAATAGCCAGACCCAAAGTGGGTCTGTCCTTGAGCCCAGGTGGCATGTATATGGATACCAGCAGGCTCTAGTCACATCAGTCCTTAATTCCCTGGGCAGCAAACATAGGTTCTGGGAAGACCAGTCCTTGGGCCCCTGGGGGTTGTACTTAGGCACTGGCAATAACAGTCAGGTGGCACATGTGATCGTATGGCAGTCCCACAGTGGAGGTGGCAAGGTCGCTATTGGACAAAATTGGGAATTTGATAAGAAAGAAGAGTGTAGCAATGTGTTTTGGTAGATATGTAAACCACTAAAGGTAAAGTTCAAAATCTGAAATGCTCCAAAATCTGAAACTTTGAGCATCAAGATGGCACTCAAAGGTTATGTTCAAAGGAAATGTTCATTGGAGCATTTCAGATTAGAGAGATTTGGATTAGAGGTGCTCAACCAGTAAGTATTATACAAACATTCCAAAATCTAAAATACAAAACACTTCTGGTCTGAAGCATTTCAGATAGGGGATATTCAACCTGTATATTACAATTACATATTTTGGTACATAGCATGAGGTAAGAATCAAATTTTCCATTTTCCAAAACATTTGATATTTCTGTGTCATTTTATATAACTCACCATCTTTCTCAACTGATTTTAAGTTACACTTTGATCATATACTTAGTGTCTAGATATGTTATTTCTATTTTTCTGGGCTACTAGTTCTGCTCTATTATTCCCTGTGCTACTGTTAACACTGCTATCACCCTGTCTTACGTACTATAGATTTATGATACATTTTATTCATTGGCTGTTCAAATTATTTTTCTCCATATCTAAATTTTGTTCATTTTTTTGTTTGCTTTTTTGAGATGGAGTCTTGCTCTGTCGCCCACGCCAGAGTGCAGTGGTGCGATCTCAGCTCACTGCAACCTCCGCCTCCCGGGTTCAAGCGATTCTCTTGCCTCGGCCTCCTGAGTAGCTGGGACTACAGGCACATGCCACTATGCCCAGCTAATTTTTGTATTTTTTTTTTAAATAGAGACGGGGTTTCACCAGTTGGCCAGGTTAGTCTCGAACTCCTGGCCTCAAGTGATCCAACTGCCTCGGCCTCCCAAAGTGTTGGGATTACAGGTGTGAGCCACCGCGCCCG